ACCCGCTCAGAAGCTTTCAGCTGTAAAACAGGCTGTGAATTCTCACCCGTGGAAGCAGCAGCGGTTCGAATTAAGTGACAGCAGATCTTTAGAGGAGGTATTTAGGAGGGACAGTGTGGTGTAGTGGTTAGAGCATCAGACTAAGACCTGGGACATGAAGGTTCAACTCCCCACTTGGCCATGAAGGTCTCGCCTTGGGCCAGTCACTGCCTCTCAGCCTAACCTTCCTCACAGGGTTATTGTGGGAATTAAATGAGGAGGGAACCATCTACACCACCCTGGACCCCTTGGAGGGAAAGGTGGGATGAAAATGCAGTAAAATAATTGAATAGGAGGTGTCAAAAGACACATCCAGACAACCTAGTTATTGAGTGCCCATCTTCATTTGTTGCAGGGAAATTGGACTGTGTGTTCTATTTGATGAGCGGTTGCACTGTGGGTTAAACCACAGAGCCTAGGGCTTGCCGATCAGAAGGTCGGCGGTTTGAATCCCTGTGATGGTGTGAGCTCCCATTGCTTGGTCCCAGCTCCTGCCAACCTAGCAGTTCGAAAGCACGTCAAGTGCAAGTAGATAAATAGGTACTGCTCTAGCGGGAAGGGAAACGGCGTTTCCGTGCGCTGCTCTGGTTCGCCAGAAGCGGCTTAGTCATGCTGGCCACATGACCCGGAAGCTTTACGCCGGCTCCCTTGGCCAGTAAATTGAGATGAGCACCACAACCCCAGAGTTGGTCACGACTGAACCTAATGGTCAGGGGCCCCTTTACCTTTACCTTAATTCTTATATCTATATAACCTATCAATTCTGAAGGAAATCAGCCCTGAGTGCTCACTGAAAGGACAGATCCTGAAGCTGAGGCTCCAATACTTTGGCCACCTCATGAGAAGACTCCCTGGAAAAGACCCTGATGTTGGGAAAGATGGAGGGCACAAGGAGAAGGGGACGACAGAGGACGAGATGGTTGGACAGTGTTCTCGAAGCTACCAACATGAGTTTGACCAAACTGCGGGAGGCAGTGGAAGACAGGAGTGCCTGGCGTGCTCTGGTCCACGGGGTCATGAAGAGTCGGACACGACTAAATGACTAAACAACAATAATTCTTGCATGTTTGCGGGGAGGTTAGAGGGATGGTGTGTCAAAAGCAAGCGTTCCCTCCACAATGCCCTTTCCCTTATCCTTTTCACATCTTCACTTTCCTTATCGCAAAAAGTCTGATCTTCCGGGGAAGCCGGTTTGTTGCACAAGACCCTCCCAACCAGCTATTTAATGATGCAACAGCAGCGAGAATGTTGGTAGCCAGTCACTGGAAAGGAAATTATTGCCCAACGAAAGGGGAATGGCTAAGTAAACTATGTGAGTACCTGGAGTTAGCAAAACTGACGGATTTAATAAGGCATAAATCAAAAATTATAATTCAGAAATAATGGGAATGCTTAAACGAATATTTATACAAGCAGGGCTCAAATATGAAAGTTTGGTTGTGCCTAGACTAACCTTGTGAAGAATATAGAGAACATAAATATTTGACTGATTATGAAAGAATCTAAGGGAGGGAAATGATTGAAGAACAGATGTAAAGGCGAGTAAGATAACTAAGAGACGTGCGCTGAAAGTCTTTTATAATATTTTAACTAAGATTTATATATTGTAATGTTTGAAGCATGAATTTGGTAATATTATTGGTTATGAAAAGTATTTTCTTTGTTAGTTTGCATTTTGGAAAACATGTATATAAATGTGTTTACAGTGCTATGTATTGTTTTTTGTTTCTTTTTCCTTTCCTTTTCTTGTAAAATTCAATAAAAAATAATGATGATGATGATGTAACCTGACTGTGCGGCATGTGACCGAACCCCTCACAAAAATAGCCACCAACTTCTCCAGAGCGCCCTACAGAGATGGTGCAGAAAAGGAGATCCTGTTCCGCTCTGCTCTCAATCCTTCCAATTTCTGGAGGTTGTGCAAACTTGTCCCAAACCAACTCGCCCCTTTTTTACAGGCGGAAGATGCAGATTATGCTGCAAATTCACCTAGAGCTAAAAACCCCCAGGAGCCAAGATACACCAGCAGGCTGACATCTAAGGCAGCTTCCATCTTTCCCAACAGGTAACACAAGATGTTGAGTCCCTGGCATTTCCTGGTAGGACTTGGGGTGCCCCCTGTCTATAAACCCTGGAGAGTTAGCAGTCAACGTACAATACTAAGTAAACAAACAAACCCCGTGTTGCAAAATACGAGTCAGCAATATCAAAAGCAACACAATGGCCAGAAACAATTACAATGTGAAAAACTTTATGAAATAATTCAAAACATTGTAATTGTTTCTGGCCATTGTGTTGCTTTTGATATTGCTAACGTACAATACTGAACTTGATGGACCAAACGTATCCTGTGCAAAGGAGCTTGCAAAAAGGTTGGTGCCAGTGGTCTCTTCCTATCTTTAGCCAGGATGAACAGAAGGTCTGTTGTAGTTCATGAACAGACAACTGGCCAGTGTTCTAGCAGACCCCATAAATGGACCTTGATTTGATCCAGCAAGCAATTGCTCATGTTTCGAAGCAAGAGTTTCATACTCTGGATCGCTGAGCAGAAAATCAGTGGCAGCTCAGTTGTTAAAACTGGATCCACACTGTTGCAGGATGTGCAACACACCAGTGGACTAGTATCCTAGTCTTCTCTTTTAAAAAATAATAATAATGAAGGAATAAATAAGAGTTTGACCGCTTGTCCTTCACTCCAACCACCACCATCAGCATCATATTTTGATTTGCAAGTTGCTCAAGGGATGGGCTAGCCTTACGACGACTCTGCGAGGTAGGTTGGGTTGAAAGTGTGTGACGCTCAGCACCAAATCATCCATGGAGCCCTATGGGTGAAAAGAGGCTTGAACACAAGCCCCCCCCCTACACCTGTGATCCAATTACTCGGGAGTAAGCCCCACTAAATATAGGAAGACTGCTGCGTAATCATCAGACACAGGATCACACCACAAGTCGTAGGTCTCAGTAATCTTTTGATTTCAGGATGAAAACCTCAAACCAAGAAAATGCAAGGCTGGGATGGAAAGATAGGGTTGTTTCTGAGAAGGATCCGTTACAGGAAACTACAGTTGGCAAGCATCTTTGGCCACCAACTTCTCTCTCTCTCAGCTGCAGATCTGCATTTCCTAACTTCCTAAATGCATCAAAAGTCCTACCCATTGATATACTGTCAGCTAATAAGAGAAAATATGAAGAACTTTGCCGGAGCAATGCAACTCATATGCAATGCATATGACTCTCAGATCTGCATTTCCTAACTCCCTAAATGCATTAAAAGTCCTACCCATTGATATACAGTGGTACCTCAGGTTACATACGCTTCAGGTTACAGACTCTGCTAACCCAGAAATAGTGCTTCGGGTTAAGAACTTTGCTTCAGGTTGAGAACAGAAATCGTGCTCCGGCGGCAGCAGGAGGCCCCATCACTAAAGTGGTGCTTCAGGTTAAGAACAGTTTCAGGTTAAGAACGGACCTCCAGAACGAATTAAGTTCTTAACCCGAGGTACCACTGTACTGTCAGATAGATATACTGTCAGCTAATAAGAGAAAATATGAAGAACTTTGCCGGAGCAATGCAACTCATATGCAATGCATATGACTCTCAGATCTGCATTTCCTAACTTCCTAAATGCATTAAAAGTCCTACCCATTGATATACTGTCAGCCAGTAAAAGAAAATATGAACTTTGCCGGAGCAATGCAACGGGCCCATCGAGTCCAGCAGCCTGTGCTCCCAGTGGCCAAACAGGCAGACAGCACAGGGAACCTGCAAGCGGGATCCGGGCGCAAGAACATCTCTCCCCTCCTGTGGCTTCCAAAAACCGGCATTCAGAGGTGCACTGCCTGAACATCGCCACTGTGGCCAGCAAGCCACTGGAAAACTCCCTTTGTTTCTGTCCTGAATCTCCTATCCTTCATCTTCCCTGGATAACCCTGTGCCCTAGGATTATGAAAGAGGGAGAAAAAAGTCTCACTGTCCATTTTCTAGACACCATCTCAGACATCTCTAGCCTTGTTCCCCCCAACCCTTGAATTCGCTTTTTCTCTGAACTGAGAATTCCCAAACGCTGCAGCCTTTCCGGAGGGGGTGTCGCCCTTTTCTGAACATTTTTCTAACCTTTTCGAGGTCCAAGGACCAGAAATTTACACAGCATTCCGAGCGGGGTCTCGCCACCAGGGCAGCCTTAAGATATCGCCAGTTCCTATTCGGATCTCTCTCCTCTTAACAAATCCCCTAGTATGGAATTTGCACTTTCCACCCTGCAGAGTTTCAACATCTTCATCCAGCCACCCCCAGGCCCACTTCACTTGTTGCCTTTTGTTTTTTTACAAGAACACTGAAGCCCGGGCATAAAAAAATAAAATGAAATGGGGTGGGGGCGAGTGAAGCAAAGCACAGAAAAGATGAATACAGTGGTACCTCGGGTTACATACGCTTCAGGTTGCAGACTCCGCTAACCCAGAAATACTACCTCGGGTTAAGAACTTTGCTTCAGGATGAGAACAGAAATCGTGCTCCGGCGGCACAGCAGCAGCAGGAGGCCCCTTAGCTAAAGTGGTGCTTCAGGTTAAGAACAGTTTCAGGTTAAGTACGGACCTCCGGAATGAATTAAGTACTTAACCCGAGGTGCCACTGTACTGGGGCGGGTTACTCTGAAAACAAGAGCTGGAGTTGAAGAAAACCACTCTGCTGCACGCTTTGAATCACAACCCCTAGGATGGTGTTTTAGCAGGAAAGGCAACGGATGGAGGGAGGATGAGAAAAACTCACGCTGAAAAAGAAGAAGGAAGGAGCCTTGAATTGGGATGCGGAGTTTAGCCGGCGAAAGATGGGAAGGAAGGAGGCGATTCTTTACACGCGCGTCTTGGAGAGCCAAAAAAGGACCCTCGGAGTTGGAGCAACGCACAGCTGGAAAAGATGCAAATCAAAAGGGTTTCTTTTGAGAAAGAGCTTCACTCACCACTGGAACATGCTGGACGCCTCGGAGCCGGGAGAAGTTTCTCTGAGTTGGAGGAGCACAAAGAGAGGCGTCTTGGGGTCCCCACGCGGAGCGCAGGCGGCGGCGGCGGCAGCTGGGGATGGCACCAGCTTCTGAGCCCGAGGAGAAGCGCCTCGCCGCCGCCGCCGGACCCTCCTCTCGCTCGGCCGAAAGGTGGAGCCAGCAAGGAGCGCGCCTCTCGCCCGCAGGTGCTTAACCCTTCCGCCGCTGCAGGGCTCCACGGGAGCGCGCGCGCGCGCGCCCACCCATCCACCCGGCGGCTGCTAGAGCGAGCGAGCGCATCTCGGGGAAGGAGCTTCCAGGCAGTGCCGGATTGACTTACAGTATAATAATAATAATAATAATAATAATAATAATAATAATAATAATAATAATTTATTTGTACCCCGCCCATTTGTTTGTACCACTTTGGGCAGCTTCCAACAAAGCATAAAAATACATTAAAATGTCACACATTAAAAACTTCCCTGAACAAGCTCTAGTTTAGGGCCCCACTCTCTTGGGGGCCCCAAAAAAATTTAAAGGAAACAAAAACTGGATGTACATTTTCAAAAGATAAAATAAAAAACAAAATAAAACCTGTGGTTGCATTAATAATAATAATAATAATAATAATAATAATAATAATAATAATAATTTATTTATACCCTGCCCATGTGGCTGGGCTTTGATGTAATACATCAAACATTAAAAGCTTCCCTAAACAGGGCTGCCTTCAGATGTCTTCTAAAAGTCTAGTTTATTAGGTTTGTTATGAGTAAAAAATCATTTTAAGTTAGAACTTAATAATTATTTCACAATTAATATACTTCTTCTTAATTGTATTTCAGTTCAACAGATACTTTGATAAAATACATGTTTTGTTTCGTGCAAATGGCTTTAGATACCTATTAGGTCCATCAATTGCCATATAGCATATATTCAACACAAAAAACGGGACGCGGGTGGTGCTGTGGGTTAAACCACAGAGCCTAGGACTTGCTGATCAGAAGGTCGGGGGTTCAAATCCTCGCGACGGGGTGAGCTCCCGTTGCTCGGTCCCAGCGCCTGCCAACCTAGGAATTTGAAAGCACATCAAAGTGCAAGTAGATAAATAGGTACCGCTCCGTCGGGAAAGTAAACAGCATTTCCGTGCGCTGCTCTGGTTCGCCAGAAGCGGCTTAGTCCTGCTGGCCACATGACCCGGAAGCTGTACACCGGCTCCGTCGGCCAATAAAGTGAGATGAGCGCCGCAACCCCAGAGTCGGCCACGACTGGACCTAATGGTCAGGGGTCCCTTTACAACACAAAAAACAGCGACAATTTGTTGTTGACAAAGGACAGCTGGACATATAAAGGGCCCCGTTACCTTCAGTAGCTTAGGGCCTCATCAAACCTAAATCTGGCCCTGCTTCCAGGCTGCAAGCTTGCAGCTCACACAGCATTCTTCGGCAGAGAGTAGAATTGCATGGCCGGCAATCATGACCTGGTTTTGGAATTGATTTTTTAAAAAAAGAATTTACATCACTGTGAGACCTAGGAAGGGGAGTCAGTGTACAGTGGCGGGTAGTTCCATCAGTTACAATTGCAAAAAGACTTTTTTGTTGTTGTTCAAAAAAGCAATCACAGAATTGTAGAGTGGGGATGGAACCCAAAGGTCGTCTAGGCCAACCCCTCGCAGTGCAGGAATCACGGCTAAATGGGTTGAGCTACTGCAGATTTGGGCAACCCAGTGCCCTCCAGGTGTGTCTCTGGGACCAATGGGAGTTGTACTCCGAAATATATGGGCAAAGGCTGCGTTAGCAGGTGGAGGACTTTAAAAATATATACATATATTGCTTGCTCTTTTAAGATTTTGTCTTGTTGGAGGGGGGTGCTGGGAGGGGAGGACTGCTTGATGTTGGACTCCAGCTCCCATCAGCTCCAGCAGGTGGGGGCCAGTGGTCAGGGATTATGGGATTTGTAGTCCAGGAACATCAGCCCTGGTTCTCTTCCTAATCTAATGCCACTTTCCATGTTGGAAAAATCATCTGTAGTCAGTTAAAATAAATTGTTGTTGTCGTTTAGTCGTGCCCGACTCTTCGTGACCCCGTGGACCAGAGCACGCCAGGCTCTCCTGTCTTCCACTGCCTCCCGCAGTTTCGTCAAACTCATGTTAGTAGCTTTGAAAACACTGTCCCACCATCTCGTCCTCTGTCGTCCCCTTCTCCTTGTGCCCTCCATCTTTCCCAACATCAGGGTCTTTTCCAGGGAGTCTTGTCTTCTCATGAGGTGGCCAAAGTCTTGGAGCCTCAGCTTCAGGACCTGTCCTTCCAGTGAGCACTCAGGGCTGATTTCCTTCAGAATGGATGCGTTTGATCTTCTTGCAGTCCATGGGACTCTCAAGAGTCTCCTCCAGCACCAGAATTCAAAAGCATCTATTCTTCGGCGATCAGCCTTCTTTGTGGTCCAGCTCTCACAGTTAAAATAAATACGTATGTGTAAAAATAGTTAATGCATGGGAAAGTCGGCCCTTGTCAGAACAGAATGCTGCACTAGATGGGGCTTTGGGTCTGATCCAGCCAGCAATGTATCCAAGCAAACATTTTTACAGATGACCCAACCTGTTCTTCCAGGTTAATGAAAGCAAGGAGCAGCACCAAAAGCTCTGGGTGAACAGGGTGCATTTCCTGCAATATTATGCCAAAAAATGCAAGTTCTAAAAAGAGGGCTGTTTTTAAAAGGTACTGTCAGAAATAGACTTGTTCCTTGGAGGTGATTGACGGGCTGTCAAATCAGCATATGCATATACAGTTGGAATTGTGAACAAATCATTTGACTCATTAGCATTTGAAACTTCCCTCTTCCCACCCAGAGTCCTCATAATAGATTTAATTACAGAGAGAGAGTAACAAGGCCAGATTCCAAGGTCAAAATATGCAGGAAGCAGAAATTGGATTCCAGTCTTGAGCTTGGAGGCCGCATGAGCTCTGAATACTTTCTGCGTAGAATTTAGTTCCTGAAGATACAAAATATTATTATTATTATTATTATTTTAAAAGTGGTTCTGGTTATGAATCGCATTGCATGGAGCGTCAACAGTAAAAACAACTTAAAACAATTCCATATATTGGAAGCCATTTCATATGTGAAAACAAGGTCTGGTCTGATGCAAATATGGATTGGGACAAATAAAATATCCACTTCAAAGGGGCTGTTGAAAAAAGGAAGGTCTTCAACAGACACATATAAAAGACAATAGAGAGATAATGGGAGGGAGTCCACACTAAAGACTTGATTCCTATATTGTATGGAACAGACTTTCTGATAAAGATGATATCTGCAGGGGTTTTCTGGTCTCATGGAGGAGAGATAAGAGCCAATGCCAAGAGTTTCAGTAGGTCAACATCACCTTCTTAGTCCCAGGGATACACAGAAATTGAAATTATACATGTATAAAGGACCAGTCTAGCTTGGTGTGCACATTTTTTTGACCCTCGGAAATTTGTATCAGGCAAAACTGAAATGCAGCAGTTATACATGACTCAAAATAACTTTGTTATTTTAGCCAGGATCTCCCTTGGACTTTTAAAGCACTGGTTCCCAGAGTGAGAGGTACAACCTCCTGGGCAGCAGTGAAATTACCTGGAGATATAAATGAGTATCAGACTTTGAGAAGCTGGTATTCCTGGATCAAGTCCATCCGTTTTGTTGGATTAAACTAACTAGTTTTGATTGGAATTCAAATCAATGTGCAATTAATTATTTCTGTTTTGAATTTTATGGTGTTATCATCAATTTTTGGAACCACGGGGTCAGAGGCACGAAAAACTTTGGGAACTACTGGTTTGAACAGACCTTTAGCCTGATGGGCTCATTTGCCTGTTGTTGTTTAATGATCTGCGTTTTCACAGGCCGATGATTGTGTGTGTGTGTGTGTGTGTGTGTGTGTTGTATATATGTGTTTTGTGTTTTCGTTTTGTTAGCTACCTTGGCCAGTGTGGAAAGGCAGAAAGAAAATGGAAATAAATAAGCGAAGCCTGACATGCAGCCAGATCATTACTGGATCCTGTGGAAAAGTTCTAATGAGATCCTTAATGAGAGAGCGAGAGAAAGAGAGCATAGAAACCTGGTCTCTCAGGTTTTTTTTTAAATGGTCTCTGATCAATCTAGCTTTAACTGTGGTCTTATTACTCAAACCAGGAAACATTGCTTAAAGATTAGTGATTGACCAGGATTAGGATTTATATGTGTTGTATGATGCAATGAGCAAACATTGTGTTGGGAATCAGAAATTTGGGTGGGGATTTAGCTTTCTTTATCTGTGGACTTTTGTAATAAATTAACCTCAGGGTTTTTTTCCCTGGAACGGTTCCTGTGTTTAAAGCCTCAGACCTCGGCCCGATTGCTGATAGAACATCTACAGCAGAGCTTCCCAAACTGTGTGTCGCGATACATTAGTGTGTCGGCTACAGTGTGTAGTTCGGTCCCAGGCAAAGCTCCCCGAGTTCCTCCCGGGGCCAGAAAAGGGTTATTTTAACCTCCTCCTTACTAGTAAAACAGAATTACTGTGTCATGAAATGATGCATGCCTAAAAAGTGTGTCACCAGCAGGAAAAGTTTGGAAAGCTCTGTTCTACAGAGTTCGCCTAATTCAGGACCAGGGTAGACAGTAAAGGTAAAGGGACCCCTCACCATTAGGTCCAGTCGTGACCGACTCTGAGGTTGCAGCGTTCATCTCGCTTTACTAGTTGAGGGAGCCGGCGTACAGCTTCCAGGTCATGTGGCCAGCATGACTAAGCCACTTCTGGCGAACCGGAGCAGCGCACGGAAATGGCATTTACCTTCCCGCCAGAGCGGTACCTATTTATCTACTTGCACTTGGACGTGCTTTCGAACTGCTAGGTTGGGAGGAGCAGGGACCAAGAAACAGGAGCTCACCCCGTTGCGGGGATTCGAACCGCCGACCTTCTGATTCGGCAAGTCCTAGGCTCTGTGGTTTGTATATGCAGATAAATAATTCTGAGAGACCTCCTGCTCCTCTTGGAGAAGTTCTTCAAATGACTGGGTGCAGAAAATTGTTTTGTTTTTGCTCTGTGCAGTAATAGTAGAAAGTATTTCTCTGAGGCTGTGCAGAGTGCCTTTCTTTCCCAGCGCATCCCCACCTCGCACAAATGCAGAGGGCAATTGCAAAGTGATTAAATGTGTTTAAAGTACCAGATTATTCCAAATTTTGTGCAGGAGACCAGATTTA